GTGAGATCATCCAGAACAGACATTTCATAATTCCCAGATCTTCTCTCGTTCAGCTTGATTTTTCTTCCTCCAGCATCCTGAATTCCAGCCTTCATGAACTCTGGAATTGCTGTTAATTAGGAAGTGGAACCTCTTGCAGCACTCTCCATCTACTCCAACTGGGTTGAACTAGGAAGTGCCAACATTTAAAGAGCTCTATTTCCGGTTCATTTGGGAGTTTCTGATTGGTCGATGGACCAAAACAGAGGTGTGTTTTGTGATGTAAGGTGTTATGAAAAGTCAAGGAAAAAGATTAAGATTGTTTAAGAACAGACAAAAGATATTATGAAGAACTTCAGACTTCGTGGAGTCAATTCTCTAGTATCTTGCTGTAAAAGTTAAACATGACATTTCTTTTTCAGTAAACTTGCAATTGACCGAAACTTGAACTTTGACCAACTTACACACTTGCTCATTGAAGACAGAAAATCAGACAATGCATCATTAACCTGATTTCTTCTTTGAATGAGGATTAAAAATCGTTATTACTGTTTCACAGTTGATTTAGAAATGAGTAGTTCACTTCAACATGTAAACATTGTTTGAACTAACACAATTTGATTATCAAACATTTGTAAAATAGTAATGATAATCGAAAGTAGTCTTCTTTCACTTGATTAATTTAAGAAAGAAAGTCTCAGGATGGGTCAACCTGTATTTCTGGATTCAAATCAATGAAATGACAGTTTCTGTCCCATAAGGTGCCTAAGGTCAAGGTTTTGACATCAGGCCTAGTTCACTACACAGGCCACCTGCGGCTTCTGGCACTCGTCAGTGTGGTAGGTTCGACCTTGAGGGAGACTTGTAAGATGGATCAGTGGAATGGAATCCCACAATTGGGCTATTTTGGAACCAGAACGCCCACATGGACTCAAGGGTGAAGAAAAAAATCTGTCTACCTGAAGAAAAACAACAATCAAAGCTGATCTGAATCTGACTCCCCGACAGCCTCGGAATGGGCCGACTATTAAATTTCTCCTGGGTCATGAGTACCCAAGGACAAAAGCTTTATCTATTCCCCCCCCCCGAGAACGTTCTGTGCAAGCTTATCAGAACTGCTGGCTGAAACAACATCTTCAAAAACTGTGGCTGATCTGAAAAAATGCTCATGGACTAATCTCAACACCTCGACGTCAAATGCAAATGTAATCATGTTTTAATTGTGCTGCTGGTAGAGTTTTTTTGTTGTTGTCTCAAATCGTGTCCTGATAGACAAGATGTGAAAGATCTTTTTTTGTAATACCACTATCTACCCTCATGTTTCTCCCCCTTTTCCTATCCAAGATTATTATTCTGATAAGAATAAGAGGCCGCGCTCAGAGCAGCAGCAGCTTTGTGCACTTCGTCCATCTTCCGGACGACTGCATGTACATGTTCTCGTTGCATCTCGGTGCAATGATAATAAAGCTTATTCTGATTTTGATAATTTTGCCATTGTATGGGAACAAACAATGATGACAACACATAGCACTTTACTTATATTTTATGGTGAACGCCGCAAAAAATAATAAAATAATTAAAGCAAGAAAACTTGCACGGTTGTTAAAGCCTCAGTTGTTGCTGTGCCTCCTGTGCTGACATCCAGTGCCCTCACAAACAACTGTCACCCCAGTGACAGCAGGCCCCACATTGACATCTGCTGTAGCAGTACTCCTCACACTTTACCCTGAACCCCCACACCAACAGTTAGTTTAGTGCAGGTTAAAAAAACAGAATAAACCACATTACCTCTCTGACTATCATCACAGTGGCGAATACCCAGAGAATATGGACTGAGACAAACAGAACTCAAACTCTTAAGAATTGAAGTGTTTATTTACAGTGAAGATAATTTACCAAATGAACCTGGGAAACCTGTGGATGGAGGCAAAGAGTCAGGATGACTGGTGAGAGAATGGTAGGCATTGTTGGTTGTCAGTTTTTTATGGGTGAGTAGAGATATTGAGAGGAGGGTAGAGGATTCCAGAGAGATTCAGTCCAGGGCTGACGAACGCAGGAGACGAGTGGTGGTGAGTTGGTGGCAAGTGGCTGGATGGTGGCAGAGCAGCTGATGGGGAGTCACAAAGAGTTCTTGGAGGTAGGTACAGGAGTTGAAGACTCAGGTGAGGTGAAGAGCGGTCCAGGACTGGAGAATCAGGAGGCAATTTCTAGAAGAACACGAGGAGAAAACAAGCGTAAGTATTTTCTTATTCAAAGTAACACTAGGAGGCCGATAGCACACATACTGCTTGGAATGTAATGCTCTCGCATGGAAGGGAGCTCTTCTGCCGCCTCTTATACTCCTGATGCTCATTAGTGAGATGAACACCAGCTGTTGCCCAAAGGCACCACCCTGGACCCAGGAAACTGCAGTGAGAGCTGAAACCCCACACTGACTCTAAAGGAGAGCCCACTTAATTCTTTACACACTTATTTTTGGCATTTTTAAATGTTGTAGCTGAAGACTGTATATATTGATAAACCTCTGACAGGAACCTGGAAGTTGAAGTTGGAAAAAAAACAGTTGTGTTGTGGTCTACACCAGTTGTTCCCAACTCTGGTCCTTTAGGAACACAATCCTGAATGTTTTAGTTGTCTCCCTGCTTTGACACACCTGATTTGAATGAATTGGTGATTAACATGCTTTAGCAGAACTTGAGGAAGTATTTCAATCACTGAATCAGGTGTTTTGGAGCAGAGAAACAACTTGAACATGCAGGACCGTGTTCCTCGAGGACCAGGGTTGGGAACCACTGGTCTACACAGTGAAAGCATTTGTTTGCTCGCTCTAGTGCCGTTCATACCCTGGTCACTAGATGACACTGCTGAGACACCATAAGAAAGAAAAGACAGAAATACAGACAAAGATTAAGCTGAAAGGAACTCTGTAATGGTGTCTAATCTAAAAAAGTTAAATCTGGTCCTCTGGACATTCAAAAAACAAAACAAAGCAAAACAACAACAACTTTTTTTTTCTTTGTTTTGTTTTTTGAATGTCCAGAGGACCAGATTTAACTTTATTTTTAGATTTTTCTACCTGGATTACTGAGCATGCATCAGGAACTCTGTAATGGTGTCTGACCTAATAGCCCTTCTATAAAAAAGTTGAGTTCACCATAACAAAGATCAGCTTTCCTGTTGGCTGGTTTCTGTACAGGTTTTAAGTCACACACCTTAAATGTAAATGAGTAAATGAACATGACGTTGTTGTTAAATAAGAAAAATAATTGACTTTTTTTTTAACTCTTTTGGTGGCTGGCTACAGTAGTTCTTACTTTGCTGCTGTATGTTCAAATATTCATTTTTCTAGCCTATTTAGCGGAAATAATTATTTCAAGCTTTAAAGAAGAGTCATGTGACACTGATTTTGTGGGAGAGTGGGTAGAGCTCAAATATCTAAAATTTGAGTTCACAGATATTGATTCCAAAAATACAACTTGGTTGCTTCTGTAAATCTGGACCCTGTGGTTTTATTTCCCTACAAGAGAAGATGGGAACTGGTCTATTAATTACAGATTGTCCATGTTTGCAGCACAGTCTTCATACTCACCTGAAGACTACTGTTTGACTAGATCATCCATGTCCTGGTACATTTTTATGATGGAGCACAGTATTTGGTGTGAAGGGGGCTAAATAAATACAAAATGCAAGTTAAATATGCTTGTTTGAAATGAGTTATACTACTCAAAAAAATTACTTGTGTTGAGTTGTGTCTCAATTCGTTTTGCACTTTTTTTCCATTTTTTATGTTTAATAAGTAATGGGTTTGACTTTCTGGTTCGTCTCTGAGTGCTAAAGTAACATTTTTGTCCTTTTACGCAGTTATTTGTTAATTAAAATAATTTTGCACTTTAGTTTTGCCTTTCAGTTAGGGGGGGTTCACAGTTTTCAACATTTTCGCAACCATACAAACTGTATACTGAGGCAGAGGGGGTCAAGGACCAGTGCACGTTTTTCAAAAGGAAACAACAAAAAAGCTATTCCCTGACATGGCAGACCATCTGATGTACAGTGAGCCCAGTGCTAGCAGGGTTTCCTACTGAGCGAGCGGCGACTCAGCTGTTAGCCCCTCTCCCTCTTAAAGCATTCAGAGCAGAATGAACCATACACACAGCAAACAAACCATGTAGGCCCAGAACCACAGCCCCCGACCTCCTCGGGACTTTTGTTTCTAAAAATCTGAAATCCAACTTTGTATTTAATAGAATATGTTTAGAGTCATCATCGTATAAACATGCCCAACTTGTGCATGTGACCAAACTCAGGGTGAGTGAGTGAGTGAGTGAGTGAGTGAGTGAGTGAGTGAGTGAG